GCTGCCTAGTTCCACAGTGCCCTCTTGTGATCGGTTGATGTCATGCATGATTTTTCTTAAATTCAAGAATGAAACGCCTGCTAAGCGAAGATTCAGTCAGGGTCACTCCCGGATAAAGTAGATTAGGTCTATTTTCTGACCACTCTCTATTTCAGCCTCACACTCACTGACCTAAACTCCTTGTGACTGAAGTAGACAGAGCGTGGATTTGGGTGTCAGGCTGATCTAAGTACCAGCTCCACTTCTTAGAGAGATGTCAGCCAGGAAGCCTGCTGTCTTCCAAAAGAGGGACTCACGGAGCACAAGGACCCTGCTCCCAAGCTTCTGCCTCTGATCTTTCCCGTTAACAGCTAGAAGCCCAACTGCATCACTGCACTGAAGGCCAACTTACCACACCAAGCAAACTCAACATACTCAGACCATGGTGGCCCACATCCTAGTCTACAGTCCAACAGTGTAACAGGATTTGTTTTCCTTGAAACCAGGACAGTGCATGGTATTAACTGCCTGAGGCTGTTATTTTTCCAGGAGAGAGTAGCCATTCAAGACAGTTTCACAGTATGACAGAAACCTCCATGACCTGTCCCATTAAGCACTGAGTAGTGATAGAGGGCTGAGGGATCCCATAGAAATTTCTGGAGGAAGTGACACTTGAGCCTAGTCTTGAGTACAAGTAAACCAAGTGAAGTTTGGAGATAAGGTCTTCCCACAAAAGTCCAACATGAGTGAAGCCAAAGGCCAAAGAGTTCAGCCAGTGTTAGAAATTCTGTGCTATTAAGGCAAGACTGAGCTGTGGTTGAGAGGTCAATAGGAACCCCTCATGGGAACCTGTTAAGGAACTTGGTCTTTCATTGTATGGAAGGTAACTTACTGAAAGGTTGAAAGCCAAACATGACATGACCATATCTTGCATTGTAGATTAATCAGTTGCTCTGATGGCTGGGATGGACAGACGTGCCAGGGTAGAGATGGGAGGCAGGCAGGACGGCAGAAGAGGTTGTTGTCTTAGTACAGCAGAGACTTGAGAGCTATTGGAGTTTTGAGGGAGCTAATTAGCACTCCTGTTCCACAACTGAGTTCTGAACCAATTGAGAAAAAAGGCAAACTGGTAAACACACAGTGGTGATTTTTATTGCTGACATAGGCTAAGTGGACGATGTAACTTTTATCTACAGACTGTAGTTAACTTCTTTGGAACTCCAGAATTACTCAGATTTACCCACCAAACCATTGGCATTATTGACCACCCCAGGCTTCTTTACGTGAGGCAGACACCTCTAAAACTTACAGGAAAAAGCAGAGCAGAACCCACACACCCTCAGGCTATCAGTCTGCATGTCTCTGGGCATAGAGGATAAAGGGACAGAGAGAGGGCAGATGTGTTACACTAATTAATCTTTAATATAGAAATATCCAAGGTAGAAAAGCATTCTTCCCTTACATTTCCCTTCTTTTTGTTCTTTTCACCAACTGGACTTAACCATTAAAGCCATAGAGAACAACACAGTTTATCACTCCCAAATCCAACTACCTTTGGGATCACTGGAAGCAGTTCAGATTTGGACCCAAAAGGCTCTGAACGGAGTCAGAATACATTAACTAAGGTAACTCCAAGGCTTCTGTAATTCTAAGTCTGAAAATTCACTCCATTCCCCACAGTATGCCCAATCACATGGTCCGTGGTGGCTAATTTTAGGTGTCAAGTTAACTGGATTAAGGCTATCTAGAAACCTGGTAAAGCATTATTTGGGTATGCCTGTGAGGGTGTTTCCAGACTACTGTAGGGTGTGAGTCTGAGGGGACTAGGTGAGCTACACCTTCAATGTGGACCAGCATCCAGTTGACAGAGGGCCCAAAGAGAACAAAAACAGAGAAAAGGCAACATGTCTGTCTCCCTCCTAGAGCTGGGATATGCTCTTTTTTCTCTGTCCTTGGACATCAGAACTCCTGATGTTCTGATGAAGTTGTCCTCTGAGGACAGAGAAGAAAGAGTCTATCCCAGCTCTAGACCTTTGGACTCCAGGGCTTACACTAGCAGCCCACTGGGTTCTCAGGCCTTAAGCCTCAGACTGAGATTTTATCATCAGCATCCCAAGTTCTGAGCTCTTTGGACTTGGACTGAACCACATCAAGATCTCCATAACTGCATGAACCAATTCCCCTAATAAATCCCTTCATTTATCTATATACATATACTATTGGTTGTCTCTGGAGAACCTCAACTAATACATGGTCCAACCTGGCGTGTCGGCACATTAATGCCCAATAATAAAATGCCAAGAACAGAGATGCCCAAATCCACATATAATCCTCTCCTAGTATCAAATTTACTAGAACTTAAATCTCTTTGCAAATCAAAGTTCAAAAATGTTAAATTCCACTAGAATTAAAATCCAAAACTAAATACCCTTATTTTGTGTTGAGAGTTAACCAGCCTGGGCAATATGGTGACACCTAGTCTCTACAAAATATTACAAAATTAGGCCTGGCATGGTGGCTCACACCTGTAATCCCAGCACTTTGGGAAGCCAATCAATGGCAAAAGCCTCATCAGATAAGTTATTTACAAAATACAGATGAGGTCAATATTAATCAAGAAAATTTTAGGCCAGGCCTGGTGGCTCATGCCTGTAATCCCAGCACTCTGGAAGGCCAAGGCAGGTGGATCACTAGAGGTCAGGAGTTCAAGACCATCCTGGCCAACATGGTGAAACCCCATCTCTATTAAAAATACAAAAATTAGCCCACCTATAATCCCAGCTACTTGGGGGGCTGAGACAGAACAGCTTGAACCTGGGAGGCGGAGGTCACAGTAAGCCAAGATCACACCACTCCACTCTTATCTCCAAAAACAAAAGAAAATTTTAGACATGCCAGGTTTTTCTTGTAAAAAATGACAAAGAGGAGAGAAGGTAGAACACAGCTAATATTGGGAAGGATATAAATAGTACTATGAAAGACTTCTGGCAAAAATGTACATTGGCACAAACTTTTTCCTGGCAACATAATCTACACCCTTTGATCTTACATTTTTGAGTTTACTCCAGAAAATAAAAATATAAAAGATCTACTTCGACTATTGTGGCCAACAAGAATAGGCTAAATAATTTATAGTAAATCTATTTAATATTATATGTACATTAATATTGAAATATTTGACACAGAAAGATATTCACCATTTAAATTCAAAAAGTGACCTAGGTGGAGGGTATACCAGGATGAGCAAGTGAAATAAAACGTGTACTGACAGTAGACTGAGAAAGTCAATGAAGATATACAGCAAAGCATGATCAACTTTCTCCTTTTTGCTTACCTACAATTCTACAATGTGCATATATTACCTGTTTGTTTTTAATAGGAGTTCTTGTCTTTGACAGTTCAACGATCTTATTAACAGTTATTTGATTTGATCTGAGCCCTAGAGTTCCTGGCTGTTTTTAGTAACTTTTACCTTAAAGATCTGTTTCCACTAATTTCCTGGCAATTCAGTAATAATTGCATTAAGGTAATAACCCTCTGAACCAATTTACAAGCAAATGGATAAAATTTCTATCTATCAAGGCCGGGCACGGTGGCTCAAGCCTGTAATCCCAGCACTTTGGGAGGCCGAGGCGGGTGGATCACGAGGTCAAGAGATCGAGACCATCCTGGTCAACATGCTGAAACCCTGTCTCTACTAAAAATACAAAAAATTAGCTGTGCATGGTGGTGCGTGCCTGTAATCCCAGCTACTCAGGAGGCTGAGGCAGGAGAACTGCC